CTTTTTCGCAAAGTCACCATTCGATTTGATGAATCGACTCCGATTATCCTGAACGGACGATTCCTCCGACCTCCAGGAAGTGATCTACTACAAACGTTGAGCCGTTGGTCAGACCATGTGCGGACCCTGTCTATCTGGGGTGACGAAGCAGTCCTCCCGGACATATTTTTGGGTTTCTTGGGGGATTTGCACCGTCTTCAGATCGTGAGGCAAGTTGTTGATCTTCATGAATTGTCTGTGGCAGTCCACCGAATGCTTTGGCTGACATACTTGTAGCATCAGCTACCCGCCGGCGCTGACTAGCCTCCAAAAACTGCTTTGGCAACTGTCGTTCCAGCCTGTAGGCACATTGAGCGTGGACTTTATGTCTCCAAGTATTTGGCAGCCTCAGATGACCTTTGGACACCTTCGATGCCTGCGTCTTTCTTGCATTGAGCACGAGCCCGGGCTGTTCGTGGTTCCGTCGCTTCCGGCTCTGGAAAGGCTGTGCTTAGATTTCTGCTGCTATTGTCTCGATTGCCCACAAGCTGGCTCGGGGCCGTGCGCAGAGTTACAGTTCGATCGACTCCCATCTCTGACTTCTCTGTCCATTTCAGGCGCTCGACGGGAAAGCATTGTGTGTAGTGGTAGCGCATTCGATCTTCGGCGAGTGGAGGTATCCTTTTCTACTGGCATCGACTGGCAATCGCTTTCCCCAGCCCTCGGCTGCCACCTCGAAGAATTGACCATCACGAATTGTGATCTTGTGGCTCGGTGGCCGAAGTATCAACCGCAATGGCCGAGCCTTCGAAGTTTACGCATTTACGATTCGATGGCCGCAATTTCCCTTCTTGAACACGTGAAGCTCCCAGCTGGTGTTGACGTTCGTGTGCGAATGCAGCCCACGGATCTGCAGCATGTGTCAACATGGCCAACTGTATTACAAGCGCTGAGTGCTGTATGTGTCACAGTCAGCTTCAGTGGTCACCAGGATCTGCCATATGCCCTTCTATTACGCTTACAACAAATGATGTCTGTGAGAACAGTGCAGATAGACAAGACTGACTGTACATGGGTCACCGCCTGCTTGAGTTACTTGAACGCGGCCGGTGACCATGCTGAAGATGTGCAGTCCTCGGAGTTAGATAATGCGGTTAGCCGTAGTAGATAGCGAAAACAAGGTGCCTTTACAGCTTGCTCTTTTGATCCTCCTAACCTATAATTGAGTAAACTGAGCACAATAAAGCAGAGAGTATCCACAAAAAGCTTATTGCGAAGTAACCTTGGCGAAGATGGGTAGTTGGTCGACCTCCTGTTTTACCGTATGTTTATTGTCGTGTATCCAAATCGAATGCTCTTTGCTAAATATGTCTATTCCGAATTCGCTGACGAGATTGACTTACGCCATCCGGCTCTGTGTACAAAACTTCCAGCGCAACAATCGTTGTACTATTGAATGCGGTTAAGGATGGTGTCTTGGTAAGCGAGGCTTTCGCTGGCACGTGTTACGACGCTACAATGAATAGTCAGGCCAAGACTGTCGACGTGGTAGCTACAAAGACTTTTATTCATTAGGAGCATGTAACCATACTTTTCATAGTTGAACACATCCGCCCTGAATGAGGCCGCTTCGCTCCTAGTCCATGACCTTTCTCTCAGTTCAAACGCTCAAAGGCCGAATAGCTGTTCAAACCGATGTTGAACACACGCGGCGAATTTACTGCCAGGCTTCCTTGACAATCCATGCTCTAGATCCAGCTTCAAGGCAATTTAGAGAATGGCCAATGCACCCAGTGATGGTTTTCTGGCCCTGTTTACGGGTCGAAGCTTCCTAATTTCCGAGTTCCCTACACCTCAGGCTTTTCAGATCACCCTTGAAACTTGGTGTCCATATTTCTTCTTGCTTTATCCGTGACATGTATCAAGCCTCAAATTTCCCTCCTTTTGGAGATACCAGCTCCAGCACTTCAAGGCGCAACTATATCAGTGTCCTTTCCAATTCGCATGCTTGTCCCACAGAGGACTGGGCTCAGATTTCGGATCTCGCGGAACGGCGACGTGTTCAAAACCGCATTGCTCAGCGAAGACATCGTACGTCATTCCAGCAGAGTGCTTAGAAGGCGCCAATCAATCTGACCTAGCATAGGCCTGAAGATAAAACGACGCTTGGAGCATCTAGAGGAACAACTAGCCCAACAACGGATAACGTCTGAGGCAGAATTTGTTGGTCCGGAGCTTCTTCAGTCGTCAAATTCCGGCGCAAGTGACATCAGCAACCGATGCAGCGAGTCACGGTCAGGTCACAGAAATTGCATTGGTTTGAGGAGCCAGGCTTCTTCTTTCTCTGAACCAGATCCGAGTTGGCTGGCGGTCGCTGCAGCACCGCCTTTTCCAATGTCTAATCAACAATACACGTATGCTGATTCATCTGAGCTCGAAAGTAGCCGTGAAGAGTGGAAATCCCCATCAACTAATCATTCGAAGCAAGAGTTAGCGCACTCTGAACCTAGCTCTCACCCTTGGGCGATACTGTCCCAGGATAGACAAGTTTCAGCATCAGTGGAACAACCCCTTCCACATGATGAGAAAGAAGCGTCCCACACGGACAGCATTCGAAATTCGATATTCAGGATTGATCCATGTCCTATACTTTGATTGGTTCAAGAATTTCGAGCATGTTTACCTTGTTGTTCCGGAATTGTGAGTGTCCACTGGTCAAATCTTCCACAGACCACACTTTGCCGCTTAGTTCATGGCAGCTCATGGATTTACATAGAGCCATTGAGGGTATGATGCAAATAAGCTCTGAATACCTTGAGGCAATCCACAGGCATCATCGGCGCATCTGCTGATTCTCCTGGTAGCCGAAATGATCCTCTGGGGATCTGCAGTGTTGTATTCCCCTCCGGCCTAGCGTGGTCGAGTGGACTTGGTGGCTCAATTAGTGCGGACGCCTACGCCTATTCGGAGTTCGGTTCCATTCTTGTCCTCTTTCGTTCTCCCTTACTATCTTCAAGCCCGAGTTCAAGTCCAATAATACAATAGTGTGATTATCCAGATGCGAGCAAACATGGCTTACATCATCAGTTCGGCTACCGCTTCAACCGTGTCCGAATCCTGAGCATAAATACCAGACCACTCCGTACGCCTGCCTCTTGTCTGTCTCAAGCCTGGAGTGGGATATTCGGCTTCCAGATTCGTGATCCAGCCGTAAAGCGATAGCGTCTCAGACTTATTCATCAGTCTTACATTCTTGATCGAAATGCGTTCATCCACCGATCCTTCCGACGTGGAGTCATATGTCTCCAAAGCTCAACCGCGACTCACCCGTGAATCTATGGTAAGGCCCGATATCTTCCAGAATCAAACGCAGACCTTTTATCGCGAAAGCACGTCAACCGAAAAACCACCGAAGAAGCTCGGGCGGAAGCAGCGTGGTATGACAGCCCCAAAAAATATTCCAAGGCATATGATCTGACTTTGCATGCTTGTCATAGCTAGACGACTCCGGAAACAGAAACAGGGAAATGAGGGGGTTGCTCTGAGGCACTTCAACAACCCTTCACAGCCACCCAACACCATGAAAAATGAAGAGTTCAATTTTACAGAACGGGCGAGAGCAATCAATCCCCGCCCAGATAGCAGCCGCCCTCCTAGCAAGAGCTACAAGGCTTCCCGTGGCGATCGAGCGGCAGACTCCCGGCCATGCCCGCCCCAATTCCCAAACGGCAAGGGTACAGCCAGAACGGGCGCATCCTCTTCCGGCCCACCTCACACGTATGACAACCCGGACGGGCAAACAGGTCACAGCCTGGTACCGGGACATTACCCTGGTGAAGACTACTATTATAGTCCACCAATCTACAATGGCTGCAAGTTTCCAACACCATACTCCACGGCTGAATCGGGAGCACTCCAGGTACCGCGCTTGACGTCCTCTTACGACTCGCAGTATGGGATGAGGAATTCTTTCGGTACCCACGGCACTGAAATGGTCGGCGTCGTTCCAAGCACGGGACCACAGCTCTTGCCCATGCCTGCCATGTTAGCACCAAGCATCGCCTCGCCGTGGATGATGTGAGTTACCCAGACTCTCTCTGAGAAGAGCCAGCACTAAGGTGTGACCTGACTGACCATTGCAGTTGCCAATTCTGTCTCTCCCGACCAGTTGTGTTTGCGACGTACCCGGATCAGCAGCGAAACTTGTCGCCGAATTAAGAGGTTTACTAGTTGCTGTCAACCCTGTATTATCGATAAAGTTAGGAAAGAAGGCTGAAAAGCCCAATGGTTTGATATGGTATGGTCGAGGCGGCTGCTTTATCGAATTCTCAACTGTTATGAATGCTTTATTGAGGGCTGAATCTGATTTCAACGCCTTGTTCCGGGTATTTTACACGGGGGTAGGTATTGGGAGGATAGTCAAATGTGTCAGTGTGGAGTGATTGTGTGTTGTTCGCGTTTCTTGGTCATTTACGATTACTGGATACATGGACACCGAATCAATGTCTACTAAGAAAACATGAGATAAACGTATTGGATAGACACTCTACTCTCAACGGTCAACTGATCTGCCTCTAGCTCTTGATATCAACTGCTGCAGTGACATATCGCTGGGCAAGGTCACAGGACCGGATCTGTCGAATTAGGGTAACGCTTAGGAACAATAACCGTAGGTGCTGGGCCGCCAGATTGGCGTCGCTGTGCATCTCGGTCCCACTGAATGCACAAACGATCAACGGGGCAAATGCCTCGGGCGGCCGCCATTAGAATGAGGTTCTGACATCAGGCTACAA